TTTTGATTCTCATAACACTCAAAATATCCTTACACCATGATATCTAGGCTCTAGAAGAAGGACTTGGGCTTGACGAGGTACAAAGGCTAGGCCAGAACTAGGCTATCCCAGGCCAGAACTAGCCTATGCTCAGTTAGGTTTAGGGATTGGGCACGAGGAGGAAAAAGGGAAAAGATGAGTGAAGATGGTAGTCCACTTTGGAAGTCACTACCCATTTGGCTAGTAGTTTTAACGAGATCATATACAGATGACAATATACCCACATTACTATGGACTGAATTCTGTCCCCCCAAATTCACGTTGATGGTTTAAACCCCCAATGTGACGGTATTTGAAGATAGGGCCTACAAAGAGGTAATGAGCAAAAGGTTAAATGAGCATAAGGGTGGAGGGCTCTGATACAGGATTAGTGTCCTTATAATAAGAGATACCAGAGAGTTCGCTCTTGTTCTCTCTTGGCCACATGAGAGAAGGCACAAAGAGAGAACCCTCACCAGAACCTGACCATGCTGGCACCCTGCTCTCAGATTTTCAGCCTCCAGAACTGTGAGAATAAATTTTTCTTGCTTAAGCCACCCAGTCTATACTATTTTGTTATGGCAGCTGAGCTAACAAATATATACACATACACACTGATAGAGTTTGGTGTACAAACTATCAGTGTGTATGTGTTGTTCCCCCAAAACTCATGCAGAAATCTGATCCCCAATGTGGCAGTGTTGGAAGCTGTTTGAGTCATGGGGGTGGATCCCTCATGAATGGATTAATGCTCTTCCTAGGTGGGGGGAGTAATGAGTGAGTTCTCGCTCTATCAGTTCCTGCAAGAGCTGGTTGTTCAAAAGACCCTGGCACCCCTCTCTCTCTCTCTTGCTTCCTCTCACCATTTGATCTGCTTGTACCCGCCGGCTGCCTGCCACTTTCCACCATGAGTAGAAGCAGCCTGAGGCCCATGCCAGACACAGCTGTCCCAGAATCATAAGCAAATAAACCTCTGTTCATTATAAATTACCCAGTCTCAGGTATTTCTGTTATAGCAACACAAATGAACTAATATACACACTTACCGGCCAAGAGCAGCAATTTAGGAATAGGACAACTAAGAAAGAGATTGGATAAGCCTCGGAACCAGCCATCCCAGTATTTTTCCGTTTTTGCCAGTTCAATTCTCCACGTATATGGATGGTCTTTCTTGGTCTGGTGAAATAAGAGCAAGTTCTGAGTCTCCAAGGGCAACCCCTGGAGGAACAGGATAAAAACTAGGTCCCTGGGAAAAGGAAAGGGAAGGAAACTAGCACTTATTAAGGCCCTACTGTGTCCCAGTCATTTTAATATACATTTAATCCTTATAACAGTCTTATTATATAGGTTATTGTTGTAATCTCCATTTTTAGATAATTAGAAGTTGTAAACTTAGGAAACTTAAGGTCACAAAGCTAGTAAATGGCAGAGCCAAGCTTAAGCTTTTCTTATAGCCAGTTGGCAAGAAGGATATACCATCAAAAGATTATGAAGAATACATTACAGTATGAAAAAAATGCTTACAATATAATATTAAGTAAAACAAGCAGAGTATAATATGTCATCTAAGAGGATTACTACCAGAAAAATGTGGTATACTTATGAGAAAGGCTGGAAGGAAAAACTGAAAATAGATTGATTTGCTGGCAGAACATTTTTTTCCTTCATTTTGATTTATGATAATGATATAATATTCCTGCAATAGCAATTTTAAGAAGAAAATATGACACAAATATGAAAAAATGTCAACATCTGTTTAAATCTTGATAGTTGGAAAGTGAATGGGCACAAAGTATACAATCAGTATTAGCTGAACAAATAAATGATTCTCTATACTTTTTTGCATCATTGAAATATGTGAAATATTTTAACCAAAATAATTAGGATACTGTATCAACTACAATACGAAAATCTAGAAGTGAACCTGAGACAGCAACATATTGTGTTAAAGATTGCTGGATGACTAAAATGTCCATACTAAAAGTGATCTACAAATTCAATATAATCCCTACCAAAATCCCAATGGCATTTTTTGAGGAAATAGAAAAAAACATCTTAAAATTCACAAGGAATTCCACTGGACCCTGAACAGCCAAAACAACTTTGAAAAAGAGGAACAAAACTGGAGGACTCACACTCTCTAATTTCAAAATATATTACACAAAGCTGTAGTAATCAAAACAGTTTGGTAATGGCATAAAGACAAATAGACCAATGGAATAGACTAGAGAGCACAGAAATAAAGCCTCACATGTATGGTCAAATGATCTTTGACAAGAGTGTCTAGACCACTCAATGGGGAAAGGACAGTCTCTTAAACAAATAGTGTTTAGTTAACTAAACGAATAGATATACATACACAAAGGAATTAAATTGGGCCCTTATCTTACACCATATATAAAAATTAACTCAAATGGATTAAAGACCTAAATGTAAGACCTAAGACTGTAAAACTCCTAGAAAAAAAATAGGGAAAAAACTTCATGACACTGGACTTGGCAATGATTTCTTAGATATGACACCAAAAGCACAGGCAACAAAAGCAAAAATAGACAAATGGTACTACATCAAACTTAAACACTTTTGTGCATCAAAGGACACAATGAACAAAGTGCAAAGGCAATCTATGGAATAGGAGAAAACCTATGCCAATCTTATATCTGATAAGGGATTAATATCCATAATAAATAAAGAACTCCTACAACTCAGCCACAAAAAATCAAATAATCTGATGAAAAAATGGGCAAAGGACTTGAATAGACATTTCTCCAAAGGCAATATACAAATAGCCAACAAGCATATAAAAAGATGCTCAACATCACTAATCAATGGAGCAACGCAAATCAAAACCACAGCAAGATACCACCTCACCCTCATTAGTAGGCTACTACCAAAAAAAGAGAAAATAAGTGTCAGTGAGGATGTGGAGAAATTAGAAACCTTGTGATCTGGGCTGTCAAATGGTGCAACTGCTATGGAAAAAAGCAAAGTGGTTCCTCAAAAAATTAAAAATAGAATTATTATATGATCCAGCAATTCCACTTCTGGGTTTATATCCAAAAGAACTGAAAGTAAGATCTCGAAGAGATGTTTGCAAACCCATATTCACAGCAGCACTAACCATAACAGTTAAGATGTAGAAGCAACACAAATGTCCATCAACAGATAAATGGATAAAAAAATGTGGTACCACCATGGACACCTTTCAATGACAGACTGCATGTATGATGGTGGTCCAATAAGATTATAGGTTTGTAGTAGGCTATGATAGACTGTGTATACAATGGTGGTCCAATAAGATTATAGGTATGGAGTAGGCTATGACAGACTGTGTATATGATGGTGGTCCAATAAGATTATAAGTGTGTAGTATGCTGATTTGTGCAAGTACAGTCTATGACGTTTGCACAAAGATGAAACTGCCTAATGATGCATTTCTCAGAATACATCCCCATCAAGTGACACATGACTCTGTGTGTGTGTGTGTACACATATATATGTTATTCAACCTTAAAAAGGAAGGAAATCCTGTCTTACTCTACAAATTGGATGAACCTTGAGGACACTGTACTATGTGAAATAAGCTAGTCACAAAAAGACACATCTGTATGATTCCACTTATATGAGGAATCTAAAGTAGTTAAATTCGTAGAAACAGAAAGTACAATGGTGGTAGCCAGGGGCTTCAGGAAGGTGGGAAAAGGGAGTTGTTATTTAACAGGTATAGAATTTCAAATCTGTTTCACAACAGTGGGAATATATCTAACACTAATGAACTGTAAACTTAAAAATATGATTAAGATGGTAAATTTTATGTCATGTGTTTTTTACCGTAATAAAAAGAAAAAGATCACTGGATGGTGAGTCAGAAAACTTCAGTCTTCTAGTTCTGTCTTTGCCACTGACTTTCTCAGGTCCCTTCCCTTCTCTGAGCTTTGGTTTTCCCATCAGTAAAAGGGGACATGATGGTACCTTATGGCTCTAATATTCTCACTAAACAAACAATTCTATCATCTTCTATTAGTATTTTCCAGGCATAAGAAACTTTAAAGTGAAATACTAATTACCATTTCAGTTTGGAACCTCAGCCTGTCCTATTACCTGTGACAATTTCCATTTATGAGCCATTTCTAAATCTCACAAGCCCCTCCCACATGTACACTGGAATTCATATGCAAATGACAAATTTAAGGTAAGGGAACCCCCAAAGATAATAATGTTATGAGAATAAATTTCTTTAAAAAGGAGTTCATCTCAAGTCTTAAAATTTGCAAAAACAAAAAAATTGTGTTTAGAATTAGAGCTGCTCCTATATTTACTGTATTAGAAACAAATCCTTTCTCTGGAGAGTTGGATTATAAAGTTAGTTTAGTTTAGATGCCTGTTAGATGGTGTAGTGGATTGAATAATGTCCCCCCAAAACTCCCTGAAGCTTGAATTGTGCCCCCCCCAAGTTTTATGTATAAGAAACTTAACCCCCACTGTGACTTAAGAGGGTGGGAAATCCTATTATGGTAATTGAAAGGTGGAGCCTTGAAGAGGTCATTAGATCACAGGACCATGCCATAGTGAACAGATTAAAAATGATGGTCAGGGGCGTGGTTCTGAGGGCTTTTAAAAAGAGGAGAGTCTGTCTGTCTCTCTGCTTTCTCTTTCTCTGCTTACACCATCTTGCAATGTGAGACCCCTGGGTCGCTGTCACCACCACCAGATGGACTTTGGACTTCCCAGCCTCAGAAACTGTAAGCAATACATTTTGTTTTCTTTATAAAATGCAGTTCCAGCTATTTTGTTATAAGCAACAGAAACAGACTAATACAGATGCTCTGACAAACGGTAATAAAACGGATTGATATGATGAGATTAAGTTGTTGGGTGGGAGAAGCAGAAAGTTGGTTGCCAATCTTCCTGGGGTGTTTGCCTGTGTAGGATACAGTTCTATGTGTAGAACAAAGGCATCTACCACAGGCCTTGCATTATTTACCAAAGCCTCTCTTTAAAAAGGTGTTTAAAAACATAGATTTTGTGTCAGTCAGACTTGAATGAATGCAAATCCCAAGTCCCATCATTAACTAATAACTATCCCTTGAGAAAGTTACTTAACCTCTTCAAAATTGTTTTCTTAGCTATAAATGGGCAACACAAGGTCTGAAAGAACTGTTTTAAGGATGACCTAAAGATGCTCATGTATGTAAAAGAATAGGAATATGGTCTGGCACATAAATAAGCATTCAACAAAATTTTTTTTAAGAATATAAATAATATTTCAATAATTATGAAAAAGAAGAAGAAATTTGGAGGACTCACACTGCTTGACTTCAAACTTATAACAAAGCTACAACAATGAAGACAGTGTGATACTCTTATAAAGACAGATACATAGAACAATGGAATAGAACTAAGAGTCCAGAAATAAACTCTAACGGGCCGGCCCGGTGGCGTACTGCTACAGTGCGCCGCTTGGGAAGCGCGGCGGCGCTCCCGCCGAGGGTTCGGATCCCACATACAGACCAGCCGCTCACTGGCTGAGCGAGGTGCGGGAAGCAACACCGAGGGTTGCGATCCCTTGCCGGTCCCGGTCCAGTACGGGAGCGACACTGAGGGTTGTGATCCGTTGCCGGTCACGAAAAAAGACAAAAAGGAAAAATAAATAAATAAATAAAAATAAATAAACTCTAACATTTACAGTCAAATGATTTTCAACAAGGATGCCAAGACAATTAAATGGGAAAAGAGGAGTCTTTTCAATAAATGGTGCTGGGACAACTGGATATCCACATGCAAAAGAATGAAATTGGATCCATTCCACTATCATACACAAAAGTTCACTAAAATGAATCACAGACCTAAATGTAAGAGCTATAACTAGAAAACTCTTAGAAGAAAACATAGGCAGAAATCTTTGACCTTTTGTTACACAAAGTCTCCTTAGATATGACACCAAAAGTATAAGGGACAAAAGGAAAAATAAATAAATTGAATTTCATCAAAATAAAAAACTTTTGTACTTCCAAGAATACCATCAAGTAAGTAAAAAAAACCCCATAGAATAGGAGAAAATATTTGCATGTTCTAGACAGACACAAGTAGAACAAGTATCTAGAATACATAGAGAATTCTTACAACTCAATAATAAAGAGAAGTAACCCAAATAAAAAATAGGCAAAAGATCTGAATAGACATTTCTCCAAAGAAGATATACAAATGGACAGTAAGCACGTGAAAAGATGCTCAACATCAGTAGTCCTTAGGAGAATGCAAATCAAAACCACAATCAGATACCACTTCATACAGTAGGATGGCTGTGATCAAAAAGAGGAAATAACAAGTATGGACAAGGATGTGGAGAAACTAGAACCATATACACTGCTAGTGGGAGTGTAAAATGGTGCAGCCACTTTTAAAAATAGTCTGTCAGTTCCTCAAAAGGTTAAACATAGTTACTGTATTATCCAGCAATTCCACTCCTATGTATATGCCCAAGAGAAATAAAAACCACACAAAAAGGTGGACATGAATGTGGAGGATACCAACATTAATAAAGCAAATGTATTTTACAGGGCCTAACTTATAGCTTAGTGGGGCCACAGCCCTGTAGTTTTAGCAAGGCCAAAGCCCTTTAGTTTAAGGTATAGTCTAACTTCTTAGAGTTGCACATAGAAATGCTTAGCTTGGGAAAAACAGAAAACTTTCCCAGGACTAAAGTCTCTGGTGTAGATAAAAAAAATTATAACACAGCAAAAATGCTTGCTCTGGGAGCAGTCATCCTTGGTGCAGCTAAACCTAATGATGGGAAAGTATGTGAGCTAAAGGCTTCAAGGCTGATGGTTAACAGATGTTCCTCATTTCGCCTCCGGCTGTTTCTTTGAGTTTCTTAGGGAACTAAGTGTTGCTTTGAAGATTATCTCATTGTTCTTTTTGTAACCACCTTTGTTCCTTTTCTGTAACTTTCCTGCCTGGAGAATAAAAACTGAGAGAAAACCTGATTCAGGGTTATTCCTAGGAATTCTTCTCTTCTGAAAGAATTGATCCTAGGATTAACCCCTTCTGGGCCTCTCACTGCTCTGGAGAAATGGGCTTTGAGTAATCCTTTGAGTCTCTGTCACCCTGGGAGAGGTGACACATGAATGCTTGTAGGAGTATTATTTGTAAGACAAAGAGTGGAAACAACACAAATGTCCATCCACTGGTGAATGGATAAAAAAATGTGGTATATCCATAAAATGGATTATTATTCAGACATAAAGAAATAAAGTGAAACTTTATTTGAAAACTTTATGCTAAGGTAAAAGAAGCCAGTCACAAAAGACCACATATTGTACAATTCCATTTATATTTTATGTCCAGATTAGGTAAATCTATAAAGACAGAAAGTAGATTAGTGAATGGCTAGGACTGGGAGGGTTGGAGAGCAATGGAAAGCGACTGCTAGTGGATACTCCTTATTGCTTAATGCACCTCAGTTTGCCCTGTCAAAAACACGGCTGATGTTTATAAAACCATACAATTGGGCTTATAAAAAATTACAAAGGAAAAATTAGTTGGAATTAAAACTCAGAGGATCTGGGTATGTTTCAGTTCTAACTTTTATATGTGACCATGGGCAAGTATCTGTACCTGAGTTGTGAAATGGTGATAACTATAATGCAGATCTTAAAATGAGAATTAGAGATGATAAATGTGAAGCATGAAGCACTTAGCATAGTTCCTCGTACATAAAAGGTAAAAAGTAATTGATTGTATCAGAGTCTCAAATATACTAAATAATGCTTGATTACCTTGGCCAAATCTCTTAACTTTTGAGCCTAGGTTTCAACATGGTAATACAGGAGAAAAGATATCCCTTCACCTCATAGGGTGTTGGGAGGGCCAAATAGATCATGTGTTGTTTTTAACTTTGTAAACTCTAAAGAGATACAGTTTTTACCTTTGTAAACTCTGAGGAGATACAAAGTATTATTCTGATCATTGATCTTAAGGATGGCAAGGAGATCCTTACTAAATTAAAAATACTGTTAAAAAAAAATGTGCTCTCCTTGCTAACAGCAGCATCTCCAAATGCAAAGAAGTATGTGGTGCACACATTACCTGCCTTTAGTAAGATGTTTATAATTCATCCCAGAAAGTCTGTTGCTCATGATCACTGAACATTCCCAAGAAAAAAGCACTCCTTTCCATAACTATCCTCAAAGCAACTGCTCAGGAAATACTCACAGAACACTTACTACAACACTTACACAACCCTGAGCTAAACGCTTAGAAAAATTCATGCAGAACATCGGTTTCTTCCCTTAAATTGCATACTTTGTTTCTTTGGGATACAATTCTTGCATAATTAGAGGACAACATGAGTCAGCATTCTAGGGATGATGAGCAGGACACCACAGTATCTTTGAATGTGGCTTACAAAAATCAGTTCTGTTGACTTAATAGGCACAACTTCAAAAAACAGAGTGCTAAGTTGTGTTATATAGATGTTCAGCACTGTATTCCAGAGGGACTAATGTAAACTGAGGTCAGAAAGCTTTCCCAAGGAATAAACCTTGAAAGATGGGTAAGATCTGGATGGGCTAAGAGTAGACTAGAGGAAATATGATTCTTCTCATGAGAGAAACCACAGGAACAGAAGTAAGAAAGAGCCTGGTGAGAAAGCAGTCTGTTTGAGGGTAGGGTATATACTGTAAGTTTTATGTTCCAATAGGTCAGAGCTATCAACGATTAACTTACATATCTCTTATGATAGTGTCTTTGCCCCCTAAAATATCTAACGGTAGACGAAAGGAACAATGTCATCTCCCCTTCCCCACCCACACACACTTGGAACTATTCCCTATCCCATCTTTCCAAGAATGGAAGGCAGTCACTCACCTCCATGTCATCTTCCTTTTTCCTCTTATTTACTGACTCACTTCCTTCTTCATCTTCTTCTTCTTCCTCTATGATTCCTTCCACTATAGATTTTGAGCCTTCTGGACTTGTAATTCCTTCACACCTAGGTTTTTAAAAAAAGTGCTATCACATACCTCTCTTCTATATACAAATTATCTCAGACATACTCATACTTATGGTTTTTTATAATCAAATCCTAGCTAAAACTCGACAATGCTCCTGTGAGGAAGATGTGAAAATGTACATTTCCAGGACTGTGGAAGGTCATGGCCATATGACTATACTCCAAGGGCTGGTTTCCTTTTCTTGCACCAGTAATGACCCATAGAAACGGAGCAACCATATCCTGAGGCATGGCAATAAAAGTTTTACTGGCACTGTCTTATATAATCCTTATAATAATACTATGAAGTAGCTCTGAAGAGTTAAGAAAATTGTCCAGAGTTACCTACCACATGAGTGGATATGGGTGGGATGCAAATCCAGGGCCAACTAACTCCAAAGCATGGTGTTTTTCTGCTGTACCCTGCTTACATTAGAACAAGGCTCAGACAGAATGGTAAAAGGCCCTCCTTTTTAATTAGCTGATAGAAACTGACAATTACAACACCCATGGCCAGCTGAACTTTGCAGATTATCTGACCCGATCAGTTATTGTTTTTTTCCTCTTAGAAATGATATCTCTTTATTATGTAATTAAGTAGAAAAATGATTATTATATGAATAGTTGGTACCATAATTCCTTTAAGAGTGAACTCAATGGAAATAATACACTGACAATTGCTAAATGTAAAAATCCCAAGGGCCTGAGTAGCAGCTAGTGCCAAGAGTTTGCTCTGCACAACAAAGCAAAATCTGTTATTTTGCCCTTGAGAAGGAAAGAGAGAGAAGGGAGAAAAAGAGCAAACGAGCAAGATAAAAAGATACTGGGTCAGCAGTAGATTTTCAAGAACAATAACTTATCCTTTTCTGTCTTGTTTACCAAACCTTCAATAAAGTGTATGTTCACAAATGCTTTGTTGAGTGGGGGTTTTCCAAGAAACTTGACCAAGTTTCACATCTAGTATATATCACAGACATGATAAAAAAAAAATAGTATAACAAAGAAATATGTGCTTTGAGTTTTCACAGCCTGTGGATTAGGAGGTTCAAGGCAATTTCACCTAGATCAAAAAGGGCAGAAAGTTTCCAGCTGTCTATGTGACAATTATCACACACCCACACACACACTCTCACAAACATAGGTTTACTTATTAGGAGAAAACACCACTTGCTATACAATTTTAGAATTACTGAACTACCTGCATGTAAGTCATGTAAATTCTTCACAAAATGCTTCATAACTGCTTAAACAAGGCAGATATAAAAATATTTAGGCAATGAAAAGTGGGCAGTCTCACAGTTTATTCAAAGTCTCTATTCTGTCTGTCTGATATTATACTGGAATTGCCATTTTGGCATAAAATCCATAATTTAGGCCTTGAAGTCAAGTACATAGGAGTTTAAATCTCAGCACTGTCATCCACTAGGACGTGACCCTAGGAATATCATTTACTTCTCTAAACTTCCATTTCCTCATCTATGAAACAATACTTATCTTGAGGTATTTTAGGGATTAAATGAGAAAGTGCAAATGAATTAATGAATCCAGGTAATGAATATCAATGGCTACTCACATTAAAAAAAAAAAAAAAGAGCGACAATCAGACACTATGTGCTTCCTGGTAATAGTGCACAACATCACCTATAAAGTATTCTTGCAACAAAACGACAACAAACAAACAAGCCTAAACTTGATCAAGCCTCTGGATCTTATGATTTACAGACAATACAGGGAACCAAGAAATATGTTAAATTACAGTCTGAGGATTCAATCAGCAAATCCGGATTTCGGGAGATTCTCTGAGCAAACAACCAGGTTTCCTCAACAAATAAATTGCAAGTAAACAAACAGAGAGAGAGAGAGAGAGAGAGAGAGGGAGAAGGAGAAAGATAGAAGGGGAAGCTATAGATTAAACAACACTTAAGAGATATATCAACCAACTGCTATGTATCTACCTTATTTTGATTCTGATTTTAACAATAAAAATTATTTATGAGATGATCAAAATGTAAATACTAATTAGATATTTGATGATATTAAGGAACTGTTAATTTTTTAGGTGTGATAATGTCATTGTGATTATATGTAAAGAGTCTATCTTTTAGAGTATACTAAAACCTTACAGAGGAAATTTCTTTGGAGTTTTCTTCAAAATATTTTGTGCTAAGAAGTAAATAGATGCACAGATGAAACAAGATTGGCCATGAGTTAATTGTTGAAAATAGGCAATGAGTAAACTGGAGTACATTGTATTATTCTACTTTTATATATTTGAAATTTTTCCATAATACAATGTATTCAAAATGAGATAGTATATATAAAATACCTAGTACAGTGCCTGGCAAATAGTAAGCATGCAATAATGCCATTATCATTTTCATCTAACTCTTACACTCCTGTCTGTTATGCTGGGCAACATTTTTTCAATTCACCTAAAGTTTATTTTGTGACCACAGAGCAATAGTCAGGACCCATGTAACTATCAGGAAAGATCAACTGGGCTAAATAATTTCAGTTTACCCTTAGAATCCAGCTTTCACTCAGGTTATGCCAGTTTTTACATTATAATTCCCTCACAACCAGGTTTGGCTTAGAAGGAAACTGTTACCAAAATGAAACCATAACTGCCAGCACTAAAGTGGACACTTAATTTTCAATGTTTTCTCTCTGGGATTCTTCACTTTTTAATACCTAGAGTTGTGCTAAGGTAATCCAGTATTATATAGAGGACACTAACGGGCTTTGGGATTTCTTAAAAAAGAAAGGAGGGCCGGCCGGTGGCTCACTTGGGAGAGTGTGGTGCTGATAACACCAAGGCCATGGGTTTGAATCCCTATATAGGGACGGCTGGTTTGCTCACTCGGAAGAGCATGGTGCTGACAACACCAAGTCAAGGGTTAAGATCCCCCTACT